AGCTGTATCAACTCATTTTCTCCCCAGCTACTATTTGGGTAAACATTGTTCACACCAGTGTTACTCTGCAAGGATGAAGTATGAAGGAAAAAAAACAACCATGTTTTAGTTTGTTTTGAACAAATAAAGATGAAAGGGTAATCATACTATCACAAGCAAATAAATCACATTTTGGATACCGATTATTTATTAGATGTATTTCATTGCTTTTTGCCTAACTGGTGATAAACAAACCTAGCTCAAAGCAGTAAAAAAAATTAGAAATGATTAGTGATTGTTTCACCTATAGTCAGTCATCGTGCTGCAGTACCAACAACAAAACTTGACCAACAAAGCTTCTTTAATTAAGCATATTCTTGGGTCACTACAAGTTTGATATGCTGTGCACTGTGATTAGTAATGGGCAGAATTCTCCTTACCATTTGTGTTAGGGTTACTGTTGATCACAAGTTTCCCAAAATGTTGAAAAATACACGTGCATCCTTGCTCAGTAACTGGTTCATGCAGAAGAATACATTTCTACCTCTGAATATATTATCAACAATTTTTTTTTTTTTGCAGTTACGGCTGATAGACTGGGGGTTGGCTGAATTCTATCATCCTGGTCAGGAGTATAATGTCAGAGTAGCATCTAGATACTTCAAAGGCCCAGAATTGCTCGTCGATTATCAGGTATATAAATTGTTGTTTTGCTGACCATGTAATTTTTACCATTTGAGAACCTCATCAGTTGTGGAAAAGAGTTGGTGGAAGTGAATAAAATGTTAGTTGAACTAAGGCAGAGATGTTCCCATAAACATAAGTAATTATCTACTTATCCTTAAGAGGGGAGAGGATGTGCTTTGAGAATATGGATTTTATGAAAACGCTATAAAATTGGAGAATTTCAGGCTACTCAAAATGGTAGAATTTTTTTGAGGTGGGGCATAATAGTTTGCATACAAGTTATGGTGTTGAATATGTTTTGCAAAGCCTGCAAGAGATTATACTATGTACTCAACAATTTCCACTACGTGTCAATATAGTAGAATAACATCTGTTTCTCTTTTGTAGCTGTATGATTATTCCCTAGATATGTGGAGTCTGGGTTGTATGTTAGCTAGCATGATTTTCAGGAAAGAACCTTTCTTTCACGGCCATGATAACTATGATCAGGTAAAAATTGTTTTTACTCATTGTTCATCCCTGGACCATTGTACACTAAATAGTGTTTGATTTGATCTGAATTTAAAATGTTGCTGTTTAATGGCGTAATAACATGGTATCGCCCTCAGTCAAGATATGAAAACCCATTTTGTATCCAGTTCATGAATAAAATCCCTCTGAATTAAGTTAATTATTTACATTTTGTTTTTTACAGTTAGTACGTATTGCTAAGGTATTAGGAACGGATGAATTATATGATTACATAGATAAATACCAGATAGAACTTGATCCAAGATTTAATGATATTTTAGGAAGGTAAGTGAAATTTAAAAATGCTACATGCAGATTTTTTTCATGCAAACAATTGCATTCATCATATGTTAGATTTATTTGAGAAAGATATAAAAGAGGTCTAGCGTGTATATTTGTTCATCGCTCGGATTTTATAGTTGCAAATCTTATTAATACATTGACGTTATTTTGCAGGCACTCAAGAAAACGCTGGGAGCGTTTTGTACACAGTGAAAATCAACATTTAGTTAGTCCAGAGGCATTGGATTTCTTGGATAAGCTTTTACGTTATGACCATCAAGAAAGGCTGACAGCCAGGGAATCAATGAACATCCATACTTTTGTAAGTACAGGGATTGCGTTAACGCGGAATTACGCGTCCGGGAAGCATAGTTTTTCTGTGGGACGCATGAATTTTT